AGTGTCAGGAGTGCTGTGGGTACATACAGTTCAGTCACCCAGGACTCCTCTTCATGTACCTGTAGTCCAACTCTATGCCTTGCCCTTCCTTATCTGAGCACAGTTGACACTCTTCTAGTTCTATCTCTTGGCACATCTGTCTACAATCAAATAACCATATGTGGGCTTTTAGAAGCTCTGCATGTTTTTCACTCAATGTATCCCGAGTATTTACTGTTTTTGATGTTTTGATGGTTAAAAATTTTATTTTTGAATTGTTTATTGATAGTATAAAGAAATGTATTTTGACCTTTATTCTGCCACCTTGCAGGAGCTTGTTTGCAGATTTCTTAAAGTTTCCCAAGTATACAACCTTATTGTACCTTATTGTAAATATACTTTTGCTACTTCCTTTCCATCTTGAATTTCTTTTACTTCTCTTTCTTGTTTAACTGCACTGCCTAGAACTTCCTGTCAATGCACAATATAAGTGGTTAGATCAATGTCCTTGCCTTGTTCCCCATTTTAGGCAGAAAGTATTCAGTCTTTTACTATTACATAGCATGTCAGATGTAGATTTCTCATGGGCCTTTTATCATATAGAGGTTTCTGTCTACTGTTAGCTGTTAGCTTGCTGCAAGTTTGTATCATAAATTCATAAGTAAATACTGAATTCTGTCAAATGCTTTTTTTCCTGCATCTTTTTTTTTTTTTTTGAGACGGAGTCTTACTCTGTTGCCCAGCCTGGAGTGCAGTGGCGCAATCTTGGCTCACTGCAACCTCTGCTTCAAAGGTTCAAGTGATTCTCCTGCCTCAGCCTCCCAAGTAGCTGGGACTACAGGCACCCACCACCACACCGGGCTAATTTTTGTATTTTTAGTAGAGACGGGGTTTCACTGTGTTAGCCAGGCTGGTCTTGATCACCTGACCTCATGATCTGCCCACCTCGGCTTTCCAAAGTACTGGGATTACAGGTGTGAGCCACCACATCCCACCCCATTTTTTTTTTTTTTTTGAGACGGGGGGGTCTGTCACCCAGGCTGGGGTGCGGTTGCATGATCAAGCTCACTACAGCCTCAACTTACCATAATCAAGTGATCATCCCACGTCAGCCTCCTGAGTAGCTGGGACTACAGGCCCACGCCATCATGCCCTGCTAACTTTTTTTGTTTTTCATTTTTAGTAGAGACAAGGTCTTGCTATGTTGCTCAGGCTAGCCTCAAACAATCCTCCCGCCTTGGCTTCCAAAGGCCTGCGATTACAAGCGTGAGTCACTGCACCTGGCCTTTTTCTGCATCTTACTGATATGATCACATAGTTTTTCTTTTTCATTCTGTTAATAAGAATTACAGTGATTTTTTCATAATCATGACTTTTTGTTTTTTACAGCAGTTTTAGGATTACAGAAAAATTGGGCAGATAGTACAGAGTTCCTATACAGTCTCGCTTGTTCCCACTCCCTACTGTTAAGAATTGTTTCCCCAATTATTAACATCTTTATTAGTGTGGTACATTTATTATAACTGATGAACCAATATTGATACATTATTCATAACTAAACTCCACAGTTTATATTAAGGTCCACTCTTTGAGCCGTATGGTTCTATGAATTCTGACAAATGCATAATGTCATATATCGGCCATTACAGTATCACAAAATACAGTTTCCCCTATGCTTTACTTATTCATCCCTATCCCAACTCCCTCTCAATTAAAGAAAGCTGTTACTACTAATAATGGTATTCAAAGAGTACAGTCCCAGGGATTGATAGAAAGGATGTGAGACCTTTCCTGCATAGCAGTTGGGTAAGAATAATGGTAACTCAACCATGCCTGAGTTATCATTAACTCAACTGGACCAGCTAGGCATTTGGATCTTCTTAAGAATGGATTCAAAGCAGCTGGATCTATCTGCTGCTAAACCCTTGTACTAAATTATTAATTTTGGTTTTGAGTTTTTTAGATTGAGGATTTATTTCTATTGGGTTATTTTCCAAATCAGTTATGCCACTTTCTATAATTTCTAGTTCTCTCCAACATTTTCAATCTCATATTTTAGGTCTTTGAAGATAACAAATATATTTATTTTGGAGTTCTTGTCTAATAATTTGGCCATCTGAAGCATCTATTTCTAATTTTTATTATTTCTGCTGGCTCTTCACATCTTGTCATGTACCTCCTTAACTTTGATGGTGTATTGGACATTGTACTTTTAAAACAGTTTGTGGAATCACTAAAGACTTAGGATTTCATTCACTTCTGCCAGGTGCCTATGGGCACTGCATTCTGGTATCACTTTGTTCCAATTTTTGTGCTTGAGATTTCCTGGATCATACAAACGACTTGGAACCACACAAGAATCCATGTGATGGCTGGTTTACCTCTGTTTCACCTTCATACCCTACCCCTGGTGGCATCTCAATCAACTTTACCAACCCAAAGTATAAGGAGATTAGCAAGGACTCCACCTCTGGAAGGACCTGAACTCTAATACTTTGTCCTCCTCAGCCCCACAAAGCAGTCCGTCTGTATGTATTTGCTATGCTTTCCAGATGTGCCTTATGGCACGCATATATATCTAAATGCTAGGCTCATCTCTCTAAATTTTTACCTCTTTCTGGATCTTGGTCTAGTAATTCCTCACTAACCTGGCTTATCTCCAGTGCCTTCAGGCATAAGTTTTTAATATTTTGTCCAGTCCTAGTTGTCCTCAGTGGAAAAGGCAATGCTAATTACTTAGTTTGTCATTTCTGACAGCAGAAGTCTGAACAGGAACTTTCATTCTATGAATTTCACAAATATTTTCCCTCTTGTCTTTAATATAAGCAATTTTACATTGTATTGTACACATACCAATCATCTTTTGGCATATGTGGGAAATTGGTTCTAGAACTTCCATGTATACCAAAGTCCACACAGACTCCAGTCCTACTCTGTTGGTCCCCTGGAACCCGCCTATAGGAAATGTTGGCCCTCTGTATACATGGGTTTCACGTCCCACGAATACTGTATTTTCTATCTGCATTTGGTTGAAAAACATTTGCATATAAGTGGACCTGGGCAGTTCAAACCTGTGTCGTTCAGGGTTCAACTGTACTCCCCTCCCCAAACTCCCATTAGAATGCTAGGACTCTGACTCATGCAGCAGCTGTCCCCTGCCCAGAATAATTATTTGTTAAATCGAAACAACCAGGCTTCTCCGATGCTTTTGATTACTTACGCCCAAATCTCATCGTTTTAAATAAAATTTTATTCTTACATAATCATCATTAAAAGCACCTTGCTCTTTCCCACTTTCTTTCAACATTTACATGTTTCTATGAGGAAAGGCCTGTATCTACTTTGTATCCATCTTTATTTGATTCTATTGAGTCATTTATTTGATTTCAAGATGATCTTTATGCTTTCCAGATGTGCCTTATGGCACGCATATACGCATTGTTTAACATCGTGATTCAGCTTTACTTTTATTTTGAAAATTTCATGACACTTCTTAGGAACAATCAACAGGATATCCAGCAAAAATAAGGCTGGGAACCACTAGGTTATATATGCTCACTAGAAAATGACAAGAACATTTCTGTGTACAAAGCAATAGTGATTTTTAAAAATGTTTTTGTATCTCTTTTTCATTTCAGCGCTTTTCCTTCACTAAGCAGGCATATGTGGAGTGGTGCAGTATTTCACTGATATTTTTCTAGGGGGGAATACTTTGTACTACAAGACCGACTGTTCTGAAACTTTGGGGAACCAACAGCAAGGGATATAAAAACTAGATAAACAGCACTTATACATTCTAGTAGAGACCAATTTTGGGGATTATGTCTACACTGACAATTGCTCCAGGAGAATCTCCTGATTCCCTAGATTTGGCCAGAATGCCACTGCCAATACTTTTCTAATATATTATATATTTCTACTTTCTTAACAGATCTCATATCATTTGTTCAATGCATGCCTTCCTTGCTAAAGCTGAAACCCTTAGTGCCAAGGACAATGTCTTAAGTAAGTAGAAGGCATACAGCAGCATTTTAGTGGGTTTCCATAATCTGAGATGGATTGTTCTTCATAACCCCAGGGGAAAGTAAGCTTTGTCTTTTCTGGATTCCATACTGTCACCCAACTTGTCTTAGATTCCAACCATATCGTTTGTGTAGGTAAGCCTGTTCTAATCCTATCTCAAGAAACACAGCTATAATCAGCATCACTGGCCAAGGGGTGGTCAAATTTCTCATTCCTTTTGGTGCTAAGTGTCCCTCTGATACTCAACAAAATGCTCACTGGTAACAAAATCAATCTTCAGTTATTCAGGGGCTGGTCATTCAGATTCCTTACTTCTCATATTCCCCCACTTCCCTCCTCTAACTATTCTCTAACTTCTAGGCTTCTCACTGGTAAAGACGCCATCAAAGGTTGGCCAGAGCAGGTGGGGAAAAAACTAACTAGTGGCCATTGTGATGGGCTAGGAACTCCAATGAGGCATATAAAGTTGGTAGAATGTTGAATCTCTATTTAAAAGTGTGAAGAACTTTTCCAATGATAACAACCAATCTCAGTGGGGCCAGGAAAAGATGGTTTGTCCAATCAGTAATCATGGTTACCAACTACCATCCTATGATATCACCATAGTTGTTCCTCCACATTCTAGGGTGTTGATACTGTACAGTTCCAGCTCTTCCATTCACTCAATCTGTGAGTTAGGACATGCTGTTTCATCTCTCTGAGTCTCATTTCATCATCAAGAAAAGAGAAACAATAATCTGACAGGTTTGCTTTGAAGATTACAGCATTCACTCCGAGAATGAAATAATGTGTGAAAGTGCTCTGTCAATGTAGACTGACATTCTAACTTTATGTTAATACTGACATTAATTGTTTGTTCATGGTGTGAGTTTTAAATTAGGATGCTGTTTTTAGTTCTCAGTGAGACAGATGTTCTACATGGGTTACAGTGATAAATTAAATCCTGGATTTTTGCAAACTAAAGCAGTATACATGCCAAATTTCATATTAGTGCTTACCTTGGGAGGTTTCCTTAATGATGGGAAAAAAAATTCAGCAGCAGGGATACAGAGGGTTGTCAACACAGCAGCCACATCAGAGCGAAACAATGAAAGAGAAAAAACATAAGGTAAATTCAGCACCTTGATAACATGATCTGAAAGATATTCTTCTTCATGAAGATCAGAAGCCAAATTCAAACACATTACTGACTCAAGTGATAAACTCTTAATATTTGCTCAAAAACATGGCATGGACAATATAATTTCTCTCTTGGTTCCACAGAATGAAATCAGACAATCATTCAGATATTTTTAATGATTTTTAAGAAATGCCAATGGCAGAGCATCAAGATAAAGAAAGATGCCACAATCCTTACTGCATGTGATTAAATATTTTTAAATCAATTTTTATATTTAAATTTTTCTTAAATTTTTGTTAAAATATATGCATATTTTCCTTTGATAAATACGTATACTCTAAGATAATATATGTGGGAGTTTTTCTCATTTAAAAACCACGGTTTTAAATAACTCATATACTTCAACACTGAATAGACACTTAAAAGTAAGTTTCCATTTTTTCCCCACCATCAGCGACACATGCACTTGTTAAAAGGTCTGTTTTTACACGTTAATAACTCAGAAATGACTGAAACTGCACCTGGAAAAAACTCTGAAAAGGAAATAGTTTTCTTTCTTTTCTTCTCCAGAGATGGGGTCTCACTTTGTTGTTCAGGATGGAGTGCAGTGATGCGATCATGGCTCACTGCAACCTTGAACTCCTGGGCTTAACTGATCCTCCTACCTCAGCCTCCCAAATAACTAGGACTACAGGTGTGTGCCACCACACCTGGGTAATTTTTTACTTTCTTAAGAGACACTATGTTGCCCCAGGCTGGTCTCAAATTCCGGACCTCAAGCAATCCCCCCACCTCAGCCTCCCAAAGTGCTGGGATTACAGGTGTGAACCACTGCATTTGGCTAGGAAACAGTTTTCAAGGCAATAAAATGTTAGGTTGACTTGCTTTGTAAATATTTTCTTCATGTACAAAATTAAGGAGCTCAACTATGATTTCTAAGTTATGCAATCCTAAGACAATTCTTGGCCTTCCTGATAGTTACTCTTGATCAACCTCTGATATCCTCAATTCATAAACTGTAAAATTACTATGAAAAAGAAATGGGGGCATTTACCCTATAGCTTTAATCCTTCTTCATAGGAAATAGAATCATGTGGCTAAGAAAATAGATTTTCCAGGGCAGAGGACACAGAAAAGTACACGCAAAAACAGCAGGATGCCTTTTCTCCATCACTGGGTGTGACACTCCTTACAGAGCTCTGAGGGACTCGAACAAAACTGAGAGCTCAGTAGCAGGGGAAAAAAAATGTCCAATCACATGCATAATTCTATACTTTTGAGTGCAGGGAAGAAAAATCATCCCATTCCTATAATGATGAAGTTGAAACATCATTTTCTTGAAATTCTACAAATTAGCTGAAAGAGGGTGACCCCTTATTGCCTTATGTAATTCCCTCAGACAGACACAATGGGAATGTGATTTTTGTCTTCAGGTTTTAGAGGGGAACTAGAATAACTGGTATCTCTGGCTGCCATTAAGCAAGTCTCAACATATTTGTATGTCTACCCTTTAAAACAAGATAAACATTTATAGAGGTTATAAATAAAAATGCACAAGCGTTTTTAATTCTAAGCAAGTCATGGATTTCCACACTGTTAAAAAACTTGAGATTTCTGCCATGAAAATGTTCTTAAGTGGAAGACTATTCAGAAAGGCCTCAGTTCTAAGTAGGTAGAACAATAATAAAACTTTATGAACCACATTTTTGACTACACCTTCTCATTTTGCTTGCTTTATTCTTTAAAAGCCATGTAAATCACTGCTTTATTTAACAAAGGAAAGAAAAGTCACTTGGGTTACAATAAGGCCATTATATGAAACAGCACGGACCAAAGGTAATTAAATGTAGGTTTCCCATTTACGTTATGATGAACCCAGTAACCAACGGGGCTGGGACAGACTAGGGGAATCCCAGTGAGCTCTCTGGAATTCTCATATGTGCCCTTTATGCCACAGCCACAGCACAATAATAACCACCAGCAGCAGCAATGAACCAGTGCTGGTGTGTAGCCAGTAGTACATTCACCTTCTTAGCCGTCAGCAACAAAATTATCCTTTCTTCACCAACATTCCAAGAAGGTTTTCTTCATTCTTCTTAGAAAACCAATTCTATTTCAGCATTTTAAGCACTTTAAAAGTCTTTATCACTTAGAAGATAGCCCATAACATGGGAATACCAACATAATTCTGCTACCTTCTTTTGTGTTTCTGAGTAAAGACTGCTTGTTAAGAATAAATGGAGACTGGGCAGAAAAGAAAAAAGGGAAGCCACAAAGCTCATCTGCTGCTACCCAGACTTACTCATCATTCGGTTTAGAACAAGGATCCTTGCTACAGAAGGAAAAGTAAACCCTGTAGCGCATCATAACTGTACTTCATTCATTGATACACCCTGTACTTCATTCATTGATATACGCTGTACTTCATTCATTGATACACCCTGTACTTCATTCATTGATATACCTTATTAAGGTTTGAATGAGGTGATGGGCTGCTCACTCATCCTAATTCAGATTCAAGGTTACTGCCCCAAACTCTAGAGGCTATATGTCCTTCTTTGGTAGTTGTGAAAAAAAAAATGTTTCCAGTATCAGTAATACTGACACTATAAGCGAATACAGTATGCTATCCTTTAGGGTGGAAAAAAAAAAAAAAAAACAACCTCATGTGATATTACAATGTAAAAATTAAAAATTTCATATACATATGAAATCTTATCTTAATCTTCATCCCTTTAATATAAATAAAGTACTAAAATAAACTTAACAGGCTGAGATGGCTTCAAGGTCCTGGGTTTCTACATAAACAAAACAAAACTTAAATTCAGCCAATCACCTCCAATCACCAGCAGCCAATTGAGCATTAGGCATATAATCAAGAATTTTCCACTGGGACAGTACAAATGAAACAACTGCTCCAACTTTAACCAATCAAATAATTTCTTTGCTTTCCTTCTGAGTTCACCCTACAAAAGCTTTCCCTTCATGACCCTTCAGTGGAGCCCCAAACCCCTTCCAGTTTGGAGCTGCCCAATTCTTGAATCACTATCCGCACAAATAAATTCTTTAACATTTTAATGCACGAAGTTCATCTTTTAACAAGTTGAAAAACAAATGAAATGAGAATGAATAATATAAACATCTATCAGATTCAACATAAATCGTATAAACACGTATTTTAAAAATTATGGGCTGGGCACGGTGGCATGCACCTGTAATCCCAGCTACTAGGGAGGCTGAGGCATGAGAACTGCTTGAACCCAGGAGGCAGAGGTTGCAGTTAGCCAAGATCAGGTCACTGCATGCCTGCCTGGGTGACAGAGCAAGACTCTGTCTCAAAAAAAAAAAAGGCCTTTTGTTGATTGTATCAATCAAAGCCATGACTCTTAGTCAAGTGCAGACTACTGCTGAGATACCTACGTGGCTTCATTACAGAAAGAGGCAATGATTTTGCTCAGTAAATATCTAGTGAACTAAAAAAAGAACATCCCTTGAAACAGACCTAACTGACCCTGACACATAGGTTTGGTTGCTGACTCCTTAGAAAACAGCATTTCATTGACACTTGCCTAAAGGTGTGTTTATTTCTGACTACTCTCCAATGCCCATCCTCCCCTTCATTCTCCAAAACATCCTTGTTTTTAATCATGTGAACTTCTCTAAGTAGTCAAGTATTAGTACTTTGGTATATTCCAAAGAAATAAACTAAATACAATTTGACATTTTAGAAGACATTCTAGGTTCCAGGATTTGGAGAGAAAATAAGGAGGGGCAGTTCTTATTTTCTACATTGATAGTAGTTCTATTTTTGCAAAACACTGAAGCTCCTCTTCTCTCCCAGGACAAGCAGGTTGATCTCTTTCAGGTCACCCACACCATGAGATTTTACCACACAACTCATGCAATTTACATGCCTTTATCCCACTTTGTCTTTCCACTCTGCCTGATCATACCTGCCCACTCTTGAAGACACAGTTCAAGGTTCAGCTCTCTCAATTCCTCACCAGCCTTGGAGACTACCTTGGCCTTCACTACTTCTAATATCCCAAGACTCCTAGGGTCAACATAACAGCTTAGCACTTATTGGCACACATAAAGTTCTGTTGCCTTCAGTAACTTTGTCTGCATTTGAGTCTCATATATCTTTAAGATTTAAACTCCTTGAAAACAGAGGCCAGGTCACATGGTATATAATCCCTGTCCCCAATCCCATCTATTCATGTAGGGCTGAGTACAGTATAAGAAGTCAGAAATAATTCTTTTACATTAGTGAGTTAAATATAATCCAGTTGTGAGGATTTACTTAAATCACCACCATAATCCTGCAATTTTGGGGCAAGACTACCTGCATTTAACAGCAGTGAAGACTTCAGAGACTGTCAGAAAATGCAGAATATTTCTGATGACTTACTTAAAAATAATTATTTCTCTAGACCAGCATTTCACAAGCATAGAAACTGAATAGATGTTAACAAAGGTCAAGCCCTTAAAAAGCTTCTGACATCAACTAAATTGAGAAATGCTGCTGAACACAGTTAAATATGGGTTTCTTTCAGGCAGTACTTTTCAGAGACTTTGACATGCTAATATATGTCCTTACTCTCCTTGCATACTCAACACAACATTTCAACAGCAGCATTCCCCAAACTTATTTGATCATAGAATTTTCTTGGAGGAACATATTTTGGGGAAAACATATCAATGATTTTGATAAACAAAAAAGTATTTTAAAGGATGCAATGGGATTTCCATATTGCAACAAATCTAGCAGCTCAATAATCTCAGGTATTGACATAGATAGTACGGCTAAAATTTGAGATGAACAAAAAAAGGTTGCTATTAAAAATATACACAATTATCAGAGAAAAATAAGTTTTAAATGACTTTTGAA